GAAGATACTATTATTCCCATTTTACCAATGAAGAAACAGAATTACTTAATATTTAGATGAAGTAACCTTTGTCAGTGTTTCAGCTAAAACTAGTATCTATGTGTGCCTTCAAAGTTTGTCTCTTAAACAGTGCTACACTGGTACAACCTGGGGCGGGGGGAGATGAAAGTCCTGCCACGCATTAAAAGGCAAATAATAAATTAATAACTTGTAAGGAAAAGTTTTAACTAATCCTTAAAAAATAACTCAAGTACAAAAGACCTACTCATATCGACTAATAATTATAAACTTAGTGATACAAGTATCTGTTCAGTCAGTTGGGAAATGCCATGAATTACAGAATTTTTACAGTAAAATTTTATAGTTATGCTTTCTTTAGTGTTTTTATTTTCTTATGTTGCTATTAGCACTACTGCTAATTAAATCTCACTTTGGAAAATGCAGTGTAAATACACAGGCCCCAGGGAGTACTTACATTCAGCTTTGCCTTTCATACATTTCCTATCCTGTCAGCAGCAGCAGTACGAACTCCATGGCTACTCACAATGTATACACATAGCTACACGTAATGGTTCTAGTCAGGGTAAGTTTTTCTCACATGAGAACTATGTGATGTATTTGATTTTGTAGGAATATCTTGTGGTTTTGTGAATCAAGTATGTATTTCTGTGTACTGTAAATACCTTACTGTTGTTACTTTTTACCCTTAGAAACAAAATCACAAAACTCCACCTACAAAAGAACTTTTCTTTCACTGATTCTAATAACAGGCGACACATGAAATAACCATTCCCAATTCTCTTTCTCATATTGACAGCAGTATTTAAGGCAGAATCTTGAAAAGGTTAAAACAAGACTCAAATGAAGTGGGCTGTATTCAATGACTAAATCTGTCTAGTGTTCGTATCAAATGTTTCAAGAGCAGGATGGAAGACATGGTGAGAGGAATGAAGATGAAAAATGGGTTTAAAAGGCCAGGGCTTGAGTTTACAAGTTCAAGCTACTTCAGCCTTCACCAAATACATGGGTTTGATTTTCAGCTTACTGTACAATATTTGACCTGCTTTTGGATACCGAACATAATATTGAAAAGATCACTCGTTGATTCAGTGGGTTGACAGCGAACGCCTACTAGGATGAACTACTGTAAATGCTGAGGGTATGTGGGGGGGGGGGGGGAAAGGGTTGTCATGACAGATCCCACTTAAGGAAAAAAGGCTGAGATACATATAAATGACTGACATGAGATAAGCTATAATGACTATGATAAAAGAGGTTCATATATAATGTTACAGCAGTTCAGAGATGACATTAACAATCTTGGGATGTGGTATGCAAAGAAAAGAAGTGGGGTCAATCGAGGATGACACTGAGGTGTTACAAACCAAGTAATCTAGAGGACAGAATAACATTTAGAAAAGGTCAAAAAAAGAGGCAGCAAAAGAAGAAACTGTCAATTTTAGACACATTTAGTTTGAAATGTAAGCACAGATACGTAGCAGGCAAATGAGGAGCGGAATTCATTACTGCGGTCAGTCCTGAGACATGAGATTTGGGACATGAAGGCATGGGCTGCTACTCTGCCAGCAGAGGCGCACCGAATCAGATAGGGTATCAAGGAAAGCTCCGGAGAGCAGGTGGTGCTGCAGTGTAATTTTAGAAGATTAAGAGAATCAGTGCTACAAAGATGGGCAAACGCACGGGGAGGAATGGTGGCAGAAGAAGCATGGTGAAGGCAAGGAAGCACAAACACATGAGATGTGACTATAGCAAAGGATGCCCGTGTGCAAAGAGGAGGATACAGAGCACATGAAAGAACGAGGAGCCAGATTATACAGATTTGATGCCCTAAGCCACGGACTCTACACGTCATCCTGAGAACTAGAAGGTACTCTGGAGGATTTTTGAACAGGACCAATATGGTCTGATTTAATTTTTAGAAAATCATTTCATCCAATGAGGAAGTGAGACAGAGGAGAAGGGGGGCATACAGGAGGCAGGGTAAACAGTTTGGAGGCCACAGCGATCATCTAAGTGAAGGTGATGGAGGCTGGACGAAGGCAGTCACACAGGAAGGAAAGGGAGGCTCCACCAGCTGCCAAGCAGGCTGGACGTCGCAGGGATCGGTAACTCAGCAGATGTGGGAAAGGGAGAAAGAGAAGTCAAGAACGACTGCTAAGTTTCTGCCTGGGTAGATGCAGAGAAGCCAATCTGAGGGAAAACAGGAGGTGTCTAAGCACACTGCACGGGAGGCACCCATGAGACATCTAAGTGAATATACTCTGTAGGCAGCTGCACACACAGGTCTAGGTATGCTAATGCTTGTAGGCCAACAGAAGGAAGTAGGAAAGTCCTTGCTTGACGGCCTTGACTTTCACAGATAGAACAGGAAACAGAGCCATTTGTGGAAGTGCAGGCAGCAGTGGTAGTTTAAGTCTGAGGAATAGAGGTGAGAAACTTTGAAGGGAATGAGTAGAAAGCTGCTAAGAGATAACCAGACAGGTAAGCCACGGATCTACAGCAGTAGTGATGTGCACGTCTGTGTGTCCTTTGTGGCAGGGCTCAACAGGCTGGGTGAAGAAGCGGTAGTACAGGTTTGCTAGTTGGCTATGATAGAAAGCAAAGGGTGACACTGTATGAATGATGCAAGTGATAATTCAGAGTCTGAGACGGGTCAGGAAGGGGATGAAACCCTGAGGCACAGGGTCATCTTAGGAAGATGGAGTAGGGATCTTAAATGAGTCTAGAAAGCAGGCGAGAATAAGGGAGTGAGAGAGAAAGGACAGGCTGTTAACAGTGACAGAGTGGAATATTGGTTGAAATTTCTGGGTGGAGTGTAGCCATGGGTAAGGGTTCACAGTGGAGTGGAAGAGAAGATTACCAGAGTTGAGAAAGGCTCTGTAATGCTTGGTGAATCATCTAAAGGGTTGGCTCATCAAATTACCAAAAATGATGCCAGGATTAAGTATATTAAAGTTCAAGAAAAATATCTTTTCCGGGCTTCCCTGGTGGCGCAGTGGTTAAGAATCTGCCTGCCAATGCAGGGGACATGGGTTCGAGCCCTGGTCCGGGAAGATCCCACATGCCGCAGAGCAACTAAGCCCATGAGCCGCAACTACTGAGCCTGCGCTCTAGAGCCCACGAGCCACAATGACTGAGCCCACGTGCCACAACTACTGAGCCCATGTGCCACAACTACTGAAGCCCGTACGCCTAGAGCCTGTGCTCCACAACAAGAGAAGCCACTGCAATGAGAAGCCCAGGCACCGCAACAAAGAGTAGCCCCCGCTCGCACAACTAGAGAAAGCCTGCAAGCGGCAACGAAGATCCAATGCAGCCAAAAGTAAAATAAATAAAATAAATTAAAAAAAAGAAAATCATACAATTAAAAAAATAAATATATCTTTTCCTAAGCATAACTGTGTAATAAATATTTGTCAATGAACTCTTGTCAAAGTTCTCACTGAAGATGCAAGGAGGGCTCAGGAGAGCATTATACTGAAGATGATGAGAAGGCTGAGGCTCAAAGAAGCAGTTTCACATGGTGGTGGAGAAGTCACAACTGGGAGGGATGGAAAGCAAGAGGACGGGCTCCCACTCTAGGTAGGCCTCAGTAACCGAGGAATCAAGAAATCCAGCTGCTTCTATGGCAGGCCTGTGTGGTCTGGACTGCTGCCTTTTTTTTTTTGGTAAAGTTTTTTTTGAAATGCAGCCACACTCACTAGCTCATGTGTTGTCTATAGCTGTGTTTGGGCTACAGTGGTACGTTGAGTGGTTACAACTGAGATCCTATGGCCCACAAGCCAAAATGTTTACTATCCAGCCCTTTAGCAAAAAAGTGTGCCACCCTCTGCTCCACAGCCGGGGGAGTGGGCAGGCGGGGGCGGGCTGGGGAATAGTAGGCTTTCAGTTATGGCTCCACTTTCAGCACAAAGTGGCGATCACATTCTTTGAGGAAGGTACAGATAAGGGCAGTCTCTTCTCCTCAAGCGGAGACCTCAAAGGACACAGTGGAAAGAATGTGCCGGGAATCTGTGAGTGCGAGGATGAGTCCAGGAGAGAGGAAATGTCACAGGCGAGGTCACTTACAGAGCGTGAGAATGAATGGCCAAGGACCAGCTGGGGACTTCCGGGAGTAAAAGCTTAGAATACACATGCAAGATGGGGAATACATTTAATAACTGGTTAATGAGAGATGAGTAACAAGATCCATCCAGTGGTGAGAATCTGAAGAAGGAATAACTATTAATGGTTTCGTTTCTGACATTTTCCAGAAATGCTTATAATAGGAAAGTAAAAAAAAAAATGTGGCAGTTTAAAACAAAGGCTGAGGACTGGGGTTGGGGGCAGCTAGAAGGACAGGAGGGCTAGGACATGCAGAGGCCTAGTTCAAAAACTTAACTTATACCTGGTATGAATTATAAAGGCCAAAATTTTTAGGATAACTTCAAAGTAGCTGTGCAGCTCACAAAAAATAAATACAATCATGTAAAAAAAATTAAAACATGCTATCAATTGCTTAGTTTTAACTGTGAGTCTATTTCACTATTAAGAAATAACAACCAACTGATAGTTTTTTAATCACCAGAAAGACATGTTGATAATTGATTCGTTAAAGGTTTATTTATTTACTTATTATTATTATTATTTTTTTTTTGTGGTACGCGGGCCTCTCACTGTTGTGGCCTCTCCCTGATTCGTTAAAGGTTTATTTATTTACTTATTATTATTATTATTATTTTTTTTGTGGTACGCGGGCCTCTCACTGCTGTGGCCTCTCCCGTTGCAGAGCACAGGCTCCAGATGCGCAGGCTCAGCGGCCATGGCTCACGGGCCCAGCCGCTCTGCGGCATGTGGGATCTTCCCAGACTGGGGCACGAACCCGTGTCCCCTGCATCAGCAGGCAGACTCTCAACCACTGCGCCACCAGGGAAGCCCAAAGGTTTATTTTAAAAAAGGTTTTCAAGTGAGTGTTTTCAAAACTGTTTCTATATACTTACCGGCTTTATTACTAAGCTTGTATAAGAAAGTCTGGCGAGGGTCTGAATGATCTCGACATGTCAGTTGCAAAAGAGAACCTGATTTTTTCCATTTCTGCATAAACCACAGACCTAGAGAGTTATAAATGGTGTGTGATATGTGAGAGTTATAAACCGGAAATACATAGTACCATATGCCAACGTTATTCATTCTAATATATATATTTCACTTCAAAATATATCTCCCAAATTAGCATTTTGTTGGCGAATAAAAAATATATTTGCAAAATATTTCCATTTTCTGATAACAAATATAAACACACAGACACACAGAGGTTAATGATGGGTTAACGGTGGTTGACAGAGGGCTTGTTATTTATTTCTACTTCATTAGGTAATGAAATAGGTAATGGTCTATGAGGAACACATTTGGGAAAATTACACCTTTAGATATACTTGTTCAAATTATAATGAAGCAGAGGGGGAGTAAACTTTAAACACAATAGTAGATCCACATGCCTGAGCATGGCGCCTTTACAGACAATCACAGGTTAGTCATGGGAGACTAACTGGATAAGGATCAACTCTAAGGATGAGCAACTGGATAATGTTTTCTAGTAATAGCTGAATATAATTTCAGTGTCATATTTAATTGTATTTCTTTATATTACCAGTTACCCGTATTTAAGTGCATCTTCCCCTTAAGTGAAACCTCAATCACTCTGGAGCTGGTTTTCAAGATTGTAGACTACTCATTTCTACTTTTGTTGATTCTATTACTGAGGTGAACAGGGGAGGAAAATAGGGAAAAAACCCTTTAACTGATTAAAGCTGCCAACTGAAAGTCTACCTGGGGAAAAGTTTAGTGAAGAAAGAAATTCAAAAGAAAGAAATTCAAAGTACTGCATCCGATTCATACTGGGTTCTATTTTGTATTATTTATGGATTTCATTTTTCTCAAGCCCTCTTTTTGAAACTGTAAAAATCTACAACTAGCTAGATTTTGAATACCACCATTTGAAATGGGATACAAAGGAAAATGGTATGGTTTATTTGTCAATGAAAGAAGTAGAAGAGAAAATGGAAATAAGTTTCAAGGCTCAATGAAAAAAAGTCAGAATGAAATCTAATTCTTACAATGGGAACCAATTGACTAAATTATAAAAGCCATTTTAAAATTCTAAGGGAAAAACAAAGCCAAATAAAGGGCAAATCAAGTATCAGATCCTTCTTAATGAGCATATTTATTCTAATCAAAATTGGGGTCTTAAGTTTTACTTTAATTTCTTTTAAGTTTAGAATTTATTTTCTCATAATATCCCTTTATCACTATCAAACCAAAATCACAGTTAATGTTCTATATAAAATATTTTATAACTTTAAAATGTATTAAGCATAGATACTTGTTATCTGCTCAACTAATGGAACAACAAAATAGCCTGTTTATAAGACTAACATTTACTGAAAATATTTAAACAGTTTAGCAATAAAAAGGGAAAAAATCCTCTTGTGACTTGACAAATCTCAATATGACATCATTTTCTGAAATGAGTTTTGTCAGCTTATTTCATGACAAAATAGAAAAATAGATACATCTTTTGTTTCATGAAATTCCAAGTACATGACAAATCTGCTCTAAAATAAACACCAGAAAATATTAAATTTGTATTTAAATCTTCTCTCCACGCCATAATTTTTGTACTGGACAATAAAACTTCTTACCTGTATTAACAAGAGCACTGCTGTTGTAGAGCGTACCAAGGTGAGGTCCAGAGAGTGATAGAAAGGTATGAAGTTTGTCAAGGTAATATTTAAACCGTGGCCTTGTAAGCACTGAACGGATTATTAAATTGCCCAACGAATGTCCAATAAAGCTATAAGAGAAACAAAATGACATTTCTCCCATAGTATTAGTTAAAAAAAAAAAAAAGCTGCTATCACTATACATAGATGTGAAATACTAAGCATTTAAAATGTTCTAATATGTTTCAAAACTATGGTTTGATACTCTGAAATGACATAACTTACATTTTGAAGCAAAAAATGTGAGAATGTAGCAGAAAATTCCTATTATTATAGAGTTTGTATACTTACTCTATAGAAATAGGATATTACTTATCAGAAAATTCCTATTATTATAGAGTTTATATACTTACTCTATAGAAATAGCATACTACTTACCAGAAAATTTTTACTCCTAGTTCGTAAATGCTTAGAAAGAAATACATTTTAAAAGCGCTAATACATTGACTAGATGATAAATTTGCATATTTAGGTATACACACCAATTATTTACCTGTCAAGTCATGATTTAAAACAAAATAATGAAGTTATACGTATAAGCATGATTTAGGAGACATTATATCCCCATTTCTCTTATTCTCTGGTCCACACTCCAAGGTGGGGAGTTCTGACTAAGTACTTTCAAGCCACAGGAAAAAAAATGTGCATTTTCTGACAGTAAGTCTAAAATTATACCAAAAGAATAACTAATACTTATAAAGCTTTTCACCTTTATTATGGAATAGTTTAAATCAAAAGAGCCTTTTTGCCTACTATTATTTTACGATAGACAGTATATGAATCCCTCGGAACAATTAACAGTGAAAGAAGAAAGGCTGAAAGCTGTCTTAAAAGTGGTTTACAGATATAACTAGTTTACAGACATAACTAGTGAGAAGCTGCAAACTTCCTGAAGCTGAGAAGTAAAGTTTGATAACGAACAGTCCTCAATCAACCAAATCAAGCTTTTGGATGATGGTTGATTATAACTGACCATCTAATCTAGAAGAGGGCATACTTTTGTGGATGAATAAAAGAACTGAAAAAATAGACTTATTTTCTCATCATAAAATAACAAATTAATAAAAGGAATACAAGATGACTATAGAAAATTTAGTAAACAGATGAAAAATCCATAAATGAAGAGAATGACTAGAACAAGAAAACAATCTCTCTCCACCCTCCACATACTTGCATCTCCCACCATATTTTAACAGAAATCTGTTTTTAAACAGTGACTTCAAATAAAAACCTGCTCTCTCTGTTCTCTGTCCCTACTCTGTTCTTCCAAGAGGACGTAAATTCTACAAAAGCTTAGAGTATAAAGAGCCAGCTTCCTCCTCTAACCCAGCTGGGATATGAAACTCATCAGTTTACTCTACTCTTTTTGAGGCAGGAAGATTAGTTTTGACTTTTTCTTTAATTCTTACCAGACTAGAAGAAACAAATGCTTTTCTATCCCCCATGTCTATTCACAACATCTGTGATTAAATAATAAGGCATGTTGATTTGATCATCATCTCCTGCTTGTGGAAAGCTGACTCTCAAAGTATAGTCATGACATGTTGAAAGTATTTTTACAGTTTCATTTTTTTTATATATATCCATTTCCCTATAACCTTTCTTTCTGGTAACAGCTTTACTGAGATATCATTCACCTACCATACAATTCAGCCGTTTAAGGTGTACAACTCAATGCTTTCTAGTGTATTTACGGAGTAGTGCAGCATCACTACAAGAAATTTTAGTATATTTCACCACCTTAAAAAGAAACCCTACATTCTTTCTTTTTTAAAAATAATTTTATTTATTTATTTATTTTTGGCCGTGTTGGGTCTTCGTTGCTGCGTGCAGGCTTTCTCTAGTTGTGGTGAGCAGGGGGGGCTACTCCTTGTTGCGGTGCACGGGCTTCTCATTGCGGTGGCTTCTCTTGTTGTGGAGCATGGGCTCTAGGCGCGCAGGCTTCATAGTTGTGGCATGTGGGCTCGATAGTTGCTGTTCGTGGGCTCTAGAGCGCAGGCTCAGCAGTTGTGCACAGGCTTAGCTGCTCCGTGGCATGTGGGATCTTCCCGGACCAGGGCTCGAACCCGTGTCTGCTGCATCGGCAGGCGGATGCTTAACCACTGCACCACCAGAGAAGTCCAACCCTACATTCTTTAGCTATC